TAGCACTCTACCACTTGAGCCACAGCACCACTTCTGGCTTTTTTCTTTTTGCTTATGTGGTGCTGAGGAATCGAACCCAGGGCCTCTGGTATGCAAGGCAAACGCTCTACCACTGAGCCACCTTCCCAGCCCTTCCTGAGTCTCTCTATGCTCAAGGCTTGTACTCTACCACTTGAGCCACAGTGCCATGTCTAGATTTTTTGAGTAGTTTATTGGAAGTAAGACTCTCACAAGGACTTTTCTGCTTGGGCTGGCTTCAAACTATGATCCTCAGATCTCAGTCTTCTGAGTAGCTAGGATTATAGGCATATGAGCCACTGGTGCTGGCTCATTTCTTTTTTTGATCAGTGTCATCTCTTCCTTTACCTTCTCCCCATTTGTTCCTCCCATCCCTGCCTACAAGTTACACAAGTTGTTTTCCACATAGCGTATACTGAGTTGTGATTGTATTTGTTCTTCCAACTTCCCTTTCTACCACTTCCTTTCTGCCCCACCCCCCACATACACACCACAAAGAAAGGGAAAAGCAAAACCAAACACCACCACCACCAATAACAACAACAAAAAAATCTGTTTCCATTTCCTGGAGTTCGTGTCAGTAAGACTTTTTCCTTATCCTTGGCATTATAGATGTTTGGGGTCAGATACAACTCCACTGTGGGAGCTGTCCTGTGTACTGTAGGGTTTATGGCAGCATCCCTCATCTGTACTTTCCTGACACCATAGCATCTTCTCTCCAAGTTGACCAAAAAAAAAGCCCCCAGACACTGTCAAAGGTCTCCTGGGGACAATACTGCCAGCTTCTTGGGAGGAAACAAGAAGGCCTATCTTACAGCCAAACAAGGATGCACAAGCATACTAGCCACCAAGTTTCCTTGTGAAACTGTTTGGCTGAGTGAGGGCTCAGCTGTCTCTTTTAAGTACACCCTGTGTCTTCGGGATGACACGGCCTAATCACACACCTCTGAGGACTTACCCCACTGTCCAACAGTGTGTAACTATATTTAGGGCTCCACATTTTTAGTGGAATTTGGTTTTAAAGTGATCTGGGGGAAATCAAGGCGTGTGGACAAGGCTTCAGAATAACATGGGCATCCGCATGAGGCCTGGTCTCATAGACTGCTGGGAACCCCACAGTCTGCTAGTCAATTTCTGAGCCAGGTGCAATAGAGTACACCTGGAATGCTAGCACCTAGGAGGTTCAATTAGAATTGTGAGATGCAGACTAGACTTCCCTACAAAAGAAGGCCCTTTTAAGAAAGCAAAAACAAAAAACAAAGCAAGCTACTCAAAAATTTATATACCTGAAAGAAAAAAAACACATTTGAATACATATCTTAGGGTTCATTTCCCTAACATCACCTATCTGACCTTTTCTGCTTGACTCAGACATATACTAGATAATGCAAATAAGGGAAACCATTTGTAAGATTATTTTTTGTTGCTTTGTATGTCCCTCCCACACAGTATAACCCCTGCTTTCACTGTATTTGATGTCAGTATAATTTGTGGAGGGGAAGGGGAAAAACAAATCGTTTAAATAGGGATACAGGTGGACCCATTGCAACAATGAAGTGTACAAGTCATTATGTGGAAAACGAACTTTACAACTTTCGTGAGGGGGGGAGGGGGAGTGGGGAAGATGGGGGGGCGGGGGAGAGGGATGGGAAGGGGAAACAAAGGAGGAGGCTACAATGCTTGATAACAAATGTACTCATTATCTTGCCCATGTAATTGTAACTCCTCTGTACAGTATTTTCACAATAAAAAAATGTTATGTTAAAAAATGTATATACCTGGTGATGGGCTAAACCTACACTTGAATATCCCATAGGAAAAAAATCCCAAGTAATTTTATGTGTGTGTGCTGATTGTGGGGTTTGAGCTCAGGGCCTGAGTGCTATCTCTGAGCTCTTTTGCTCAAGGCCATTCTACCACTTCAGCCAGAGTTCCAATTCTGGCTTTTTGGTGGTTAATTGGAGGTAAGAATCTCACAGAAGGGGCTAGGAAGGTGGCTCAGTGAGTGCTTGCCTTGCATGCATGAGGCCCTGGGTTCGATTCCTTAGCACCACATAAGCAGAAAAAGCCCGAAGTGGCGCTGTGGCTCAAGTGGTACAGCGCTAACATTGAGCTGAAGAGCTGAGGGACAGGGCCCAGGCCCAGAGTTCAGGCCCCACGACCAGCAAAACAAACAAACAAAAAAGAATCCCACAGAACCCTGATCCTTAGATCTTAGCCTCCTGAGTAGCTAGGATTACAGGAATAAACTACAGGTACCGGTAATTCTTAAATGATGAAATACTTCATCACTTAATGCCTATGTGAATGTTTTATCTAAAAAGTGAATGAAAAATATTAAAAATTGTTAGTGATTGTGTGATGTAAGTCAAATGATTGAGGAAAATTCAATCACTGGAGGCAAACACCTGAGTAGTGGGGCAGCTCTGAATTCCCACACTTCATTACTGTGTTCTTATGAGAAAGCATGTGAAATGAACAGAACCCAACCTATTCTACACTCTACAAACTGGCATCTACTCTCTTCCCAGGGGGTTCAGCTCACTTTGAAAAGTTTATTGTGTTAATTATAAACGTCACTCTCACTGTGGAAATGTGGAAAACACTGCAAAGCCTCAAGAAAAGAAAGTATCCACAGTGCTGTCACCCAGCAGTAAACTGTACTAATACTTTGCTAAAATGAATAAATGACATTTAACTCATCTCTGGACTTTGTAAATAGCACAGATGACTGATTTAAACAGTACACTTAGCACTTCACAGAATTTTAAGAGATACAAAGTTTCATGGGAGTGATTCTTTCCTGCTGAGAAATGCTGTCTTGTCTTTCTATCTGTCTCAGTGTGTTTTTGCATGCACCTTTCTTATTTTTTCTGTGTTCTAGTCCTCACCTCAGGTTTCTGAGGCTTAGGAAAAGTAAAGTACATATCTGTGAAGGCTGAGTTGCAGTAGGGACTCTGCCCTTCTCCATCACAAAGTTAGAGCCTGCTATCAGGAAGAGTGAGCAGGCTGGGTCTCCTGAGCCACACTTACAGGTCATAGGAGAACTTCCTCTCCAGGTTGGTCTGGTTCCTCTGGAACTGGATGACATCTTGCTGCAGCCTGTCGTAACTCTTCTGCAGGGCCTTCAACTGGTCTGAGACAGAACCACATGTCAGAGCATAAAGAGTCAGCAGCCACCTCTGCCAGCAGCCCTATGCTTTCCTACTAGCCAAAACCCTTTCCTTGTCACTGTTCACGGCTGAGCCCTGGATTCAGTCACCCACCCCAACTACCAAGGAAGCTGCAGTTTTCTCCAAGGACTGCCCTGTCCTTGCTGCCCTGACAACTCAACTTGTGAAAGCTCTGCCGAGAAAATCAGAAACTGACAGCTGAGCTGGGGCATCAGGAAAAGGGGCTACAGTGGCCACCGGATGGGGGGACAGCACACAGCAACAGCCAGAACACAGATGCAGTCCCAGCCAACAGTGTATCCCCAAGATTATCCTTACAACTCAGAACTGCAAGAACAAAATTCTAAGGGAGAATAAAAGTAAAACAAAGGATCCAATAAACTATTGATGCATACCACGGTAAGGACCACCAGAAAAGGCATTCATGGAGAACTGCTCAGTAGACACATGAGGCCAAGATGGGAATTGAGTCACCGCGAAAGTGTTCAAGGAAGAGGTTAGGGTTGGGGGTGAGGAGAGTGGCTTGGAGTGACAAGTTGATGCTGTGCACTGATTATAACAATGATCTGTGAGACTAAGCACTTGTCAGCCATGGTAGTGTATGCTTGTAATCCCAGCACTTGGGAGGTGAAGGCAATAGGATCCCATGTTCAAGGCCAGTCTGGACAACAAAAGTGAGACTCTGCTTCAGAACATTTTTTAAAGTATGAAACTATATAAAGGGAATACTTCAGTAAACCTAATTTAAAGGGAAGATTCCACAATCAAACTATGTATGAGACAAAGAAAAGGAACAAACTATGGACATCCACACAACATGGTTCAAGACTCACAAACATTATGCTGAAGGAAGCTAGAAAAAACAAAGTGTACACAGCCTGAATCCATACATGTATGCAGATGCTCAAAATGCAAGCACAGCTGGGCTGGTGGCTCATGCCTGTAAGCCTAGCTACTCAGGAGGCTGAGATCTGAGGATCACAGTTCAAAGCCAAGGAAGAAAGTCTGTAAGACTCTTACCTCAATTAACCACCAGAAAACCAGAAGTGGAGCTGTGGCTTAAGTGGTAGAGCACTAGCCTTGAGCAAAAAGAGCTCAGGGACAGTGCCCAGGCCCCGAGTGCAAGCCCTACAACTGACCCCCCCCCTCTCTCTCTCACACACACACACAAGCTAATCAATAAGGACAGGATGCAGACCAGAGGATGCCTGCAGTGTGGAGGACTAACAAGGGGCACAGCTATCTCTGAGGATGACAAATGTGCCATTGTACTGATTTGATGATGACTTCCTGACACAGATATGCCATGTGTCAAAATCTGTCAAACTATATACTTGATATGTAGCTTAAGTAGTCACATACACACAGTTAAAGCTACTTAGAAGTACTAAGTACTTAGAAGTACTAAGTATAAGCCCCAGTGGCTCACGTGTGTAATCCTACTCAGGAGGCTGAGACCTGAGGATCAAAGCCACCCCAGGCAGGAAAGTCAATGAGATTTATCTCCAATTAACTACCAGAAAATGGAAGTGGGGGCTGTGGCTCAAGTGGTAGAGTGCTTGCTTTGAGTAGAAGAGCTCAGGTACAGTGCCAGGTTCAGAGCTCAAGCCACAAGATGGGGGTGAGGGTGGGGGTGGGGTACTAAGTATAGGCAAGTCTACAGCCCACCCCCTGGCCTGGGGAAAAGAACAGGCTCAGCTGAAGATCACGGCTCTGAGAATTGTGCCTGTTAGTGAAGCCAACTTTCCCACTTTGTGTAACTCTGCATTTCTGCAAAGGAAATGTGACAAAGCAAATCTCATGTGTTTCCTACTGATATTTTTAGAGCCTGGTCTGAAACAGACTAGTACTGACCAACAGAACTATAGTACAAGCCACACAGGAACTTTTACATTTCCTGGCAATCGCACTTTTAAAAAGCAAATCAAACCAGGTAGAATTCATTTCAACAATACATTGGATTTAACCCAATAGATAAAAACAATATTGTCATAGCAATATGTAATGAATAAAAAGCCAGAAGTGAAGGTGTGGCTCAAGTGGTACAGCACCAGCTGTGAACAAAGAAGAAAAGTGGAGCAGGAGCTCAAGATCCTGCCTTCAAGTCCTAGTACTGGCATTACAATATTTTTTTCATGACAGGGTCTCTTTACTAAGGAGCCCGGGTTGGCCTTGAACTCATAATCTTCCTGCCGCAGTGCTCAGCCAATGTAAATGTATATTCGTTTGTTTGGTTGTTGGTTATATTCTCAGTTGTTGTGCTTTTAGTTTGTTTTTCAGATAGGGGTTCTCATTTTTGCCCAGGGCTGGCCTCAATATGTCTATCCTCCTGAATAGTTTGAATTACATACATGAGCCACCACACCTGGTCCCTAATGGAATAAAAATGTCTCAATTACTCCTACTCACCGTGAGACTATCAGGACCACATGAGATCCTGGGGAACAATGTGGGGAAAGGCAGGTTTTCCCCTGGATGGGGGTGTGTGGCTTACCTTGCAGATCTCTGATGAGCCTCTCACCTGTGGTGATGTTATTCACTAAAACTGCCTGCAAGGAAGACAAACACGAAATGAAACTGTGCACCTAACAACTTAGCTTTCATAAAGTACATGTTGGGAAAGGAGGAAAGGAACAGTCTGACCCAAACCCAAACCAGCTGTAAGGGCCACATGCAGCTCTGGAGGCACTATCCAATGGCCATGGATGAAAGAAACATACCTGTTTATAAAGATTTGCTTTTTACCCACCAGCCTGGAGCCTGCAAAGGGAGAAATTGGATCCTAGCTCCATTCCAGCTCTTGGATACCCTTTCCCAGTCAGGCCTGGTTTACCCTCCACCCCAGAATCCAAAGAACAGCAATGGTAGCTCAAACCACAAGTCCTTTAGGCTGGCCAGGGACAGCCCTTACTCAACCAAAAGTCATAGCCCCAGGCTAAGAGAAAGAAGGAAAGAGAATTCAATGGTCATTCCACTAACAGGGCCTCTGAATATATTTTCTCCTTGTACACCTGTCTGTGAACATGAGAGATAGGGTTTCCTCCAAAGTGAGTTACACCAAGTACAAGACTTGAACAGAGAAGGGAAGAAGCAACATGTAACTCCAAATAGCACTGAAAAATACAAAGGGAAAGAAAAGTGAGCACTGAGTCATACATTCCTTCGCAATCACTTCAGAGTGTGCTCTGTTTGCCTCATGTTTATTCAGTCACTCTCCAAAACAGATACAGGAGGTGAGCAATGTATTACCTCACTTCATTTGCCAGAAAACTGAGGCACAGCTTGCTGAAGTGGCTCTAGGAGGCAAAGAGAAAACAGGAGCCCAGCAGGCATGCTTGAGCTGTGGCTACCTGCCAGCGCACTAGGAACCCGGGCAGCTCACCAGTTTCATGGGAGTTGTACCTGTGATACATAATTTACATGTTAACTTGACTGGGTAAAAGAAGACTTGAGGAAATGCTAATGGATTACTGCTGGGTGTGTCTGTGAGGTGTGTTCACAGCACTCCAGTGGAGGAGTTTGTAAACTGAGTTGACACTGAGGAGTAGACACCAAGCAATCAGCTGGTGCCAGAGTGAACAGAAAGGACAGAAAGGGGGTCTCTCTCTCTCTCTGACTCCCTCCCCCCTACCTCTCTCCTTTTCTTTGCGCTTCTCCTTTCCTGTCTCCCTGTCCCTCTCCCTCTCCCTAAGACACATCTGAGATTTTAGGATCCTGGACTCTTGGGCCCTCAGCCTGGGATTGAGGGAGAGTTACACCATTGGCTTCTCCAGTTCTCACATTCTCAAGACTTGGGACAGAGCCATACTTTCAGCATCCTAGGATCTCCAGGACTGCAGATGGCCTGCCATTGGATTTCTTAGCCTCCATCAACACTGGAGCCAATTCTCCCAACAAATCCTTCCTGAAATATATGACTCTTGGTAGCATTGTAAATACAGAACACAACTCTGCTAAAACTAAGCAAAAAGCTATGATATATCAAGAGTTATATATCACCAAGGCCAAGTGACATTTTGTGTGTACGTGTTTCCTCTCATATGCAGAAGCTATACATAAGTTATACAGTCTTGTAGACATTCACTCACAGTGAGACCAAACAAATCTGGTGTTTACTTTGGGAAATGGAAGGACACTTTCTGCAGAACAAGCAAGAAACCTTCATAAAACAATATACCTGTAAAATTCTTCAGCCAGGGAGGTATTTTTCCAGAGGGGTAATGAGTAAAGAATGTGAAGAGGAATACGTGTTTCCTCTCATATGCAGAAGCTAGATCTAAAATACACAGGGACATGATAAATTATACAGTCCTGTAGACATTCACTCACAGTGAGACCAAATGAGGATATTCTTAGGAGAGGAGCAAAAGGCTCAATGCCTATGTGCATCAGATCATATAAAATATTTGTTGAAATGAACTCCAGGAAATGAAAACAAGAGGCTCTTCCTTTGTGGCAGTTTTTGTTTTCTTTTTTGTCTTGTTTGTTCATTTATTTGTCTTTGGGAGGGGAAAAGAGAAGGTATAGAAATGCAAGGAGAAAAAGTGAGCAAACTTAGCAGTGGTACTCACTGAACATTATATTGGAAATGAACTATTCAACTTGTGGGTGGGATGGGAAGGAAAAACAGACAGCAAGGAAAGGGGTGACACTGTCCAAAAAGAAATGTTATAATAAGTCAGGTAATACCTAACATGTAACTAACCCCTCTGTACATCACCTTTATAGTAACAATAAAAAATTTGAAAAAATCATGTGAAAGGAAAGGGCTACTCAATGGGAAGCATTACTCTTGGAAAAAACATGCAGATGTCCGGTTCATAGGACCAAAGATTATCCCAGGGTTCTGCAAAACCACTTCTGGGTACATCTGCAAAAGAATTCAAAGCAGGATCTCCTAGGGATACCTGTATTCCCACACTCACTGCAGTTACTCACAAAAGCTGAGGAATGAAGTCAATCTAAATGGCCATAGATATAACATGGATAAATGAAATGTGCTACATAAATAGAATGGAATATTATGCTGCCTTTACAAAGCAGGAAATTCTGGCAAATACTAAAACAAAGAAAAGCTTCAAAAACTGTAAATAATAATATTTAATAATAATGTTAATAATAACTAATAATAAGCACTAGGACAAACAGAAAGGAAACAGATTGCATCAGTGATCATATACTAACTCCTGGGGAAAAAATCGGGGGTGGGGTGAGGAATTGGGTGGTGGAGGGGAGTTGGGGAGTTAGGTAGGAAAAGGATAGTAGGAGAAAACAAAGGAGGGGTAACAATGCTCGATAGGAAATGTACTCATCCTTACTCATGTAACTGTAACTCCTCTGTACAGCATCTTTACAAAAAAAAAAGGTTAAAAAAATCACTTCTCTAGAAATTAGGGCAGTTTCACATTTCTGTTCTACCCATCTGCCTTTTCATCTTCCCAGAAAATTGAAAATAGAGCTTATAACTACTTGAGGGTTTGGGAACTGCAACAATTTGAATGTATCTGAAAGATACGTTTTTATGTGACTTTGATTTGTTTCCATGAGAATTTACTCTCCTGAAGAAAAAAAAGATTTCCCTCCCACCTCCTGATTTATACATGCAAAAACACAGCCTTCTTTTAGTAAAATTAAAAAAGGATCATAAAATCAGTATCTTTTATATACTTCTATGCTTAGAGGAAACTTTATTGAACCATTTTTCAGGGGATCTACATAGAAAAACACATAAATTCAACAGGGTTTCCTTTGTTTTCTTCTGGTTTATTGTTATTATTGTTATTTTGCTGTGAGGGACTGACCCCCAGGGGCTTCCAAATGCCAGGTAAGCACTCTAGCAGCCATCTACCTCTCAACTCAGTGAAACCACTGTTAAGTTACAATATATTCTACTCTGCACAATCAAGTTGTTTTTCACAACCTGGGTGAGCGCTGACTCTGAATGTATCAGAAACCACTGACATTGTTATAACAGGCTTTTTAAATAAGGAGCTAAAATAGTCAATTAGATCCCAATTTTAAAATGTGAAATGAACATGCCCAAACATACCCAAATTAACACTTCAAGATATAATATACCTAAAAATTATTAACACTTTATTTTTTACATGAAATCTTTTAGTTGTGATACATTTGACACAGCACAACTCAATTCCAACATTTTGTTTGCTGGACAGCCATCTATGGCTACAGACACAAGCCCTGAGGCACAGGAAAGGAGGAAAGAATGAGAAAACGAGTGCTGCAGTTATATACTCACACACACTTTTTCACTCTACAACAAAACCAGCATATTCACTCTCAAATACTTCATGTCCTTAGCCCAGTGGGCCAAATCAGATCAGTTTGAATATGAGTTTCTATAGAACAGCAGTACAGCGTGGTGAGAACCTGAGTCTAACTCACAAAACCCTAACACTGACATGATTCATAATTAGTTCTCGTGATTAAGCAAATACATAGGTGATAAAGAGCTAAATATCTTATGGAATTATTTGACAGGGGAGGTGGTAATAGTATTATAGCCCAGATGGAAGATCCTATCTTTTAGATAGTCATGTGCTATAAAATGCAGGAAATGTGTTCTGAGAAATGCATTTCAACACTGCACAAATATTCTAGAGCATACCTAAAGCTAGATTGCACAGCCAATCACTACACCTGGCTTCAGGATGCACTCAAAAGATGCATAAACCTAAGGCAGCTGCTGGCCTAACATGGCAAGTTATAGTAAATTTCTGTTCTTCTTGTTGTTTTGGTCTGTTTTCTGAGCCAGGGTCTCACTATGTAGCTAGCTGGCCTCAAACTCAAGCTGGACTTGAACTCCTAGTCCCTCTTCCTCAGTTTCCCAAGTGCTGGAACATCCATTATAAGAACAACAATTATTAGAATACATTTTAAAATAGTGACAAAGGCCAGGCAACTAGTGGCTCACACCTGGAACTAGCTACTCAGAAGGCTGAGATGTGAGGATCATGATTTGAAGCCAGCCCTGGCAGCAAAGTTCATAAGGTTCCAGTCCAAAAATAACCACACAGAAAAAGCCAGAAGTGGAGCTGTGGCTCAAATGGTAGAGCACCAGTCTTGAGCTAAAAAGCTAAGAGGCAATGGCCAGACTCTGAGTTCAAGCCCTGGTACAGGCACCAAATAATAATAATAATAATGATGGCATAAAAGTACTATAAATACACAAACTAGAAACAGCCATTTATTGTGTCAGTATCAAGTATGATTTACTGTACACAGTTATAATGTGTTATATGTACTTTGCTATGGTCAGCACCACATAGAAGATAGGAATATTTCAGTCCATTATCATCTTATGGGGCCAGTGTCCTTTATGTAGCCTTGCTCCCTCCAATAGCAAAGTTACTATATGTGCAGAAATAGTTCTGGGTGAAATGGTAAGAATTATAATTATAAGGAGAGAGGAAGGAAAGGAGGCGGGAGGGAGGGGAAAAGTGAAGAGAGAAAGGGAGAAGAAAACAAAGGAGGGAGGAAAAATGAGGGAAGGGAAGGAGGAAGGAAAGGGGGGAGGGAAAAAGGGAAG